TCTTATTTTGTACAGCCGGCTTGGAATCGCGCATACCGTCACCTGCACCCCCAAACTCGCCTCCCGACACGTCCTGTTAAGCCCCTCCTACCCATGCCCTAGTAGTCTGCTTCAACCCGCCCATGATGATTTCAGAACCAGACGTTTGAATGTTGTTTGTCCCAACGTCGAGGACCACCGACACTTCTTCGGCACACCACCGACCAGACCTTATTTCTAACGTGTTCGATCCTTGCATCGGGGGTTTGTCTGACAGAAACCTGGGCTCCTGAATATATTCCCATTAGCTGCCTCAAGACGCCTGACGTTCGAGTCACAGACTATTACAAGGGCCCGAGTTTTCCCACTCCCATTCTGTACGGCCTGAGCTTGTCCTGCCGACCTCACACGTGTTCCCAATCCTCCTTCCGTTCCCTCATCCAATCTGACCTTCCTGAACCCGAGAAACTTGTTTTCGGTCTTAATGACTGCCTCCTGGGATCGCTTAAACTTCGCCCCCTTTACGACCTGAGCCCAATTACTAGTCACCTGGGAGTCGGCACTCGCCGCGTTGTCAAAGGACGAAAGGGTCATCCTCCCAGTAAAGTCCGGAAAGGTGGGGAACCCCAGGAGTGCCTCCTCCACCCTACTTAGCCTCGGCACTAAATCATCCCTCGGAATCTCACCCATCAACTTCCTGATCCCTCTTATCTCCTCCTCGACGCTAAAGGGACAGGGACTTGGGATGCCAAGACTCTCATTCAGTTCCGATCGCATTCGGTGAGCTGATTATGAGCGACTGCACGAGAAAGTGATTTACAAGAAGAAACATGGGCATTCACATTTTAGGCAAGTGAAGGACTTTGCTAATACGTTGCGACTACTCGGGTTTACTTCTGCTTCAACTAGTGATGAACCGTGTTCCGACTGTTATAAACATTATGAAACATTAGTGAATGCCAAAACAGGACCAGCATCATATGGTAAGAACCCAGGAACTTCCCAGGAAGATGCAGCATTCGTTCCATCAGAAGAACTCGTGCAGGCGGTAAAGCGTGGTAAGCGTGTCTGCTTCGGAAGTGGACATCACACCTTTGAAGCTGCCCAGTACTATCCGGACCGAAAGGAAGAGGGCATATGGAAAACGGAAACAGCCTCAGGTAGCCTCTACTTTGTCTTCGAAAGCTAGGAAGAAAATTTAGGAAGCCTACGAACTGTGCAGTACAGAAAGTGCGTCAAGCGGTTGAATATGCCAAGGATGTGAAGAGTTACAACCTAACTCATGATCCAGTCGATTCCATCCAAACTCCTGAGGAACCTCATGCCAAAATGGCACCCATCATGAAAAATGTGCATTTTCTGATTTTACCTGCGGCAACAGTTCAAGAGTACCGCAGCAAGAAAAAAGAGGAATGGACCAACGTGCAAGCAGCCAAAGGTATCCAGCGCAGCCACTATTGGTCTTCAAAAAAGGGACAATTACTCATGGCGAGATCCGTTCGACATGAGATGAAGGAAGTGATTCTAAAAAGTAAGAAATGACACTGAAGATTGTATGAATGATAAGATGTGCGATTGTCCTGTACTTCGTGTGAATAAATGTATACTGAGATGCGGATTAAAGAATGATCTTTCCACAGAAAATAACAATTCTCTTAGTTTCGGCCTCCAGTGTGTTCCCCAGCGTCGAATAACCAATTCTGATAAAGATAATCTTCACATGACCATGTACTTCAGTTAAAAAGGTCGAACATTCAAAATATTAAGTAAAAACCATGGTGGAGCAATTTTCACATGCTACGCAATTTGACCATTGAATCAAGGCAGATGTGAACATGATGTTGCCAAATTTATCATCGCCACGGCTGGCCACATGCTGGACACATTCGGCTAAAAATCAATTATGGTTGTGTGACCGTTGTTTCCCTCAACCTAGTCGGAAAATGTGCATGTTTAAAAAGCAATAACTTGGTAATAAGGCAAATCGAGGAGGAAATTTGCATACCACGCTGTAACTGGTGCCTTCTAGTATCAACAAGAAAGAAATGAAGAAAATCAAAGATTTTTTTTTTAGAAAAAAAGTTATTTTTCAACCATTTTTCGGAAATTGACAAAAGTTGCAAGTTAATATTAAATTAAGCGTGAGGGAAATGAATGCCAAATGACAAGAAGAGATGCACAGATATATGTAGTTCATGAAAATATACTTGATTCAAGATGGGATACACATTTAGCTGGCTAAAAAATTCAGCAAGTTTCACAAAGTTTCGTCACTATTTAAAATTTTAAATTACGTATTTATAAAATTATAACTTAGATTTTTCTCAAATGCTTCCACAAGACGTACATTCAAGTATGCGAGAAAAAAATTTCAGGATTCTATGCCTATTACTTTGGGAGATACAGAAAATTGAAAGTGGGAGAAAACACTAATTTCACAAGTCGCCCTTTTTAGAGCCCTGCACTTGTGAATTTTTTTCTCCGAAACAATTGCAGATATAGAGGCAAATAATATACTATTTGCCTTCATTTGAAAGGGGGATCACACATATTTTTTTTGAAAAAAACCGAGATTATGACCTGATGCAAAAACCGTGACCCTGCCTGATTTTAAACGGAACCACCCAACCATGTTCTAGAAGGGTTAGACATCTGAAACTTGGTACACACGTACTTCTTGGGATGCAGAGTTCAGAAAAAAATCCCACTTTTGAGGTACTTGCCCTGGGGGTACACATTTTGGGGTGAAACTTTTTTCTTGAATATATGTTGTGACAGATGAGGATGACATTCATAGAGCCTACTGGATGTGCTGGGTTCGGTGCTGTAGTAATAGCAAATCTTACTGACTGTCAGGTTGCCCGTGTTCAATTCCTACTCTTTCTTTTGGGGTTTTATTTTTTCCATGCCACTCATTCCCCCTCCATAACATTATTTTTACTTGAGTAAAACAGAGAGACATGGAAAGCTGAAACTTGGCATAGCTCGTAGACATGCCTACCAAGACGATAATTTCAGGAAAAATGCAACATTTTACATCCATGACCTTGTGGTATATTTTTGTTAGCCGACGTTTTCAATTACTTTTTTTGTCCTGGCGTATTGCGCTACTATGGAAAGATAAACTTTGTATATCACTACCTATTGGCATGTTGAAGAAAACTTCAGACTTTGGAAGTAAATGCCATTAGGGCACAAATTTCAAGTGAAATATTTTCAACTAATTATTTTGCATCAGTGAAACTGATGAACATGGAAAGCTGCCACTTTGCATGAATGTGACTACTGAGACAAGGAGTTAAAATAAAAATATTATGTCTCGATACGTACCCTGGGCGAAATTCTAGGAGGGGCGATGTTTAAAAAATGTTTGTCGTGCGGTATTGGACAGAAATGAAAAGATGAAACTTGGCAAAAGTATTTGTGAAATCATATTAATGAGTTGAGGGAGTATTCGGTTTCCATGGTGCATACCCTCCGGGCATGGCTTTTACAAGGGTCGGCTCTTTCAAGCATGTTTTTCCTCCTGCAAAAAGGGGAAACGTATAAGGTTGAAATTTTGTGGCCATGTAGTTCTCTGAGGATTGATTTCAGTATTAAAAAACAGGTACTTTTAGGTTAAAACTCCTTAAGGCACATACATTGCAAAATGTATATTTTCTCGATCCAGCAAAACAGAGAGAGCTATAAAGTTTAAACTTGCCAAAAAGGAACCTGATGGAGAGCTGAGGAAAGGAAATTTTCTACTTTTATTACATACAGTGTTTTAAGAAAGTTGTGTCCCATCGCAATGTGCCGATTACCTCAGCAAAAAAAGCAAAATCAGAGAAATTTTTATGTACAATAACAAGGACACTCAACTGACATTTAGGGACATTTAGAAGAGTTTGAAAAGGGACTTCCAAAGAGCACTTGTGCCATAATATAAATAAGAACATCATGATGAAATCCTCCATTGTCTAGGTAGAACTATTGTCCGGACACTGAAATAATTAGCATATGTATCTGCTACTAGATGGTTTTGAGACAAATATGAAAAAAAGAGTGTGACGACCACCGTCAGTAATTAAATCCAATACACGAACGCTAATGTTCGCGCTGAACTTTTGCATCTTGGACCTAATGCTCTAAATCAAATAATGTCAATATGAATAATTTCTGAAACTTAATTTTTTATGTGTGAGCGCCTTCAGCGCTCACACATAAAAAATAAAACGACATAAAAATCGAAAAACCGAATCGATCATCATTAGAGATGAGCTTCGAAAATGAAAGTTATGAAACCATTTGCAATTTTCTATGGTCATTCAGCGCCGAAGGCGCGTCCATAGCTAGTGAAAGATGCAACTAGAAAAACGGGATGGTTACTACGCAGACGACGGCGTCCTTTTCTCAGCGCCACTGTTCTATACCATCCAGATCAGATCCCTCTGCTTTCACCCTCGAGTCACTCTCTTTTTTAGAGTGCCGATCAAGACGAGGATCGGTTCCGATCCATAAAGGAACCGGGATCCCTATAATTATAGAGACGGAGACCTCAACCTCCTACCAACTATGAATGTTTCCCCCACGCGTGCCTTGACCATCCTCCACATCGACATTAATGGTTTAAACACTAAAAGAGCTGAGTTCTTAAACTACCATGAAAAGGCCAGATCTCGTTATCTGTCAGTGAACTCAAGCGGAAACTCCCCCCTTGGATTAAAGGACTTTATTCTCTCAAACCGTCCCATCCCAATAGGCCTTACAATGGAGGCTCTGCCATCTTTATCTCTGACAAACTACATGCTGAGGACATATCACCTTCCCAGCCTAAAGCTATTGAACTAATCGGAATATCCTTTAAAGTAAATTCATTAAAACGTAACATCTTTCATCCCTATTGTCCACCCTCATCCCTGACTCAAGCCGACCTTGACATTGTCCCCTCACACCTCCAAGATCCTACCCTAATAATAGGTGACCTAAATCCCCACAGGCCTTTCCTCTCCTTCTGTGACAGGACCAAGCCATAAGGACGACTAATCTCCTCCTTCCTGGACAACTCCGACTACTCCCTGATCTGTGGCCCCGACCCGACTCACTCCTCCTTCACATGCCCTGACTCTCCACCATACAGACTTGACCTGACTCTTGCTAACCCCTCCATCCTTCCCCTCATACATGATTGCTCCATTGGAAAAGACATTGGTTCTGACCACCTCCCGATCCTTGTGACTGTCGACCTCTTCCAACAGGAAAAAACCGCAACCCTTAGGATGACTCCTGACTTCCCAAAGGCCGACTGGATCAGATTTCAACTGACCCTGGACACCTGTCTCCCCAACTCTCTCTCCATCCTCTCTCCCACTGACATATCCACAGCCATCCAAATTGCCCAAGACGATTCCATCCCCACCCTGACAGTAAAAACCTCCAAACCTTACCAAATCTTACCATACCTTACCAACCAAGCATAAAAGAGTAAGGACCTACCCTGTATTCAACTTAAACCGTAGAGCGGAGGATGGTCAGGGTCCCTCCCTCCCCTTGCCCCAGCTGCATTCTTAACCTGCCTTACATCATAGCCTAAAAAGTGTTGTACATATCCTTTCAGCAACCTCTACACCCAGGATGACTACAAGCACCCCATGTCCCAAGCAAAGTCACTCCACCCTACTCCACCGTATTTTCATAGTGAATGCATGAGAGTATGATTGAGTGAGCGACTGACTGAAAGTGTGAGCGAAAGGATGCGTGAATGCACGAGCAAATGATGTGTAGCTGCAAAAATCTATTCTTATTCTAGATGTACAAAACATGACTCCTGACCCATGATCATAGAACCTATGTAAATTCATTAATATTACTATTAAGTACATCAAAATAAAAATGCAAATAAAACAAATGAAATAAAATTAAAATAATAATTAACTTGACAAATGTGCGAAGCTATCTCTTCGCAGAGGGAAACCAGTAGAAACTGGCCCCATCATGACCACCAATCAAGAAAGAAAAATTTGACGAACTTCATGCCCAGAGCACTTACAAATATCTTACTCTTAAGACACACTTAGTCCTGTGCCTGCCTCCTCCTCCACAACCCACAGTGACCTTTTTTGTGGCCCCTTGGAGGTCTCCAGTCTCTAAAGATCCATATTTAAATGTGGCCTATTTCGGCTCATATTTGAGTGCCTGCAGCTCTCTAACATGAGCCAAAGTCTCAATTTGGCCCTCTAGATAGAAAAGGTTGTGCACCACTGACCTAGATGAACTCAAGAAAAAGAAGAGATAGTGTATGCGTGATATAGACCTGAAACAGAAGCATTTCCTGCTTGAGCTCCACAGCATGAGTGAATAGCTTCTCTTCCCGCTGTGATAGATCATGAAGAGCCTTGGTGTTTTGACGAAGGAGACGCATCCCTTCACAGAGCCACACTCCGCCTTCCCAGCCTCCCCCAGGAGGAAGCACTTCCCCAGACATGTAACGCTCAAACTCCTCCTCTGACAGATTCAGGCTCGATGCTTCAATGCGTTCAATGAATCCCACTGCACAGCACTGCCCAAAATGGGATCATCATTCACAAATTGAATCAAATGTCATGGTCATTGTATTTCCAGTATTATTTACCTCCCATTGAATCAACTGAAACTTAATGATACAAAAATAATCATTAAACTATTCACAGGACATCTTGAACCCCTCCCCCCTTAATCTTGATGACAATATGGAATCTTTTTGCCTACTGGACAATCACGCTGGACACAAACTTCTGTGACATTTAGTTTTATTATTCTTTCCTCAATTAATTAACTGACTGTGAATTTAGGCTTTTCTTCAGAAGCATGTCATAAGCTATGTCTTACTTGAAGTCACATACATTTGAGCATTCTGAGCTGATGACAGGCTTCTAAGCTGAAAGATATTCTTGCCAGAAATAAGATGCTCAAAAGATCAGAATCAAAGAATCTTCATAGCAGATGCTTGTATCTTCGTTCCCTCTTTCACTTGTCGGCATCTCTGAGGTCCATGAGGTAAAAATCCAAGATCATTTTGTAGCAGTTGATGAAGGAAGTTTGGGAGTGAACACCAAGTTTTCTTTGGACTCCACAGGGATTTTGTAGCATAGCTTTCTGGACATCACTTAAAAGTTTCTTCATTCAAGCATTGCAGGTTAGTCCAGGTCTCGGTCTGTCATTGATGGTTTGATGTTCTTGATACTTTGTGATTGTATTATAAGCAATTGCTAATTGAAATTCTTGAATTAAAACATGCAAAAACATAATCTCCTTCATGAATGAGCTTACTTGCAAGGATTATTTAAATTTCAGCAAATCTCAGCTCAGACATATTTCAATGCACACAAAAAAGAATAAAATGGAAAAACAATATCCTGCTTGTGACCTCTTTTATCAGTTTGGTAATAACTTATATGAAAGAAGCTTACAAGATTGGTAAAATAATATCCTCCCTCTCCAGTCATGAGTCGCTTTGGGTTGCAGAAGCGAGAGATGTAGCTGATGTTACTGTAGAGTCGTGTGGGATTCGCCTTGAGGACAACATAGATGAGAGCTGGGAGGAAATAATCAGCTGAGTTGGTCACACTGGATGCCGAGCTCTCAGAGTCTAACATCAAGGACCTTGCCTTTGACTCTAGAAGCACCGAGAAGATCTGCTTGGCACACTTGACTATGCATGACAACTTGTATTGTGGGGCACGTTTTGAGTCCACTTCAACTATATCTACCAGCAGAGATAATATTAGGTGGATAATAATTAATCAACAAACTTAGGTCAGGACAAGTGTATCTATAACTCAAAGCCCATCATAGGATGTAGACTAGCACTAACTTTATATCTACATTTACAGGTTTCAATAGAGGTTTTTTCATGCATATGCAAGACCCTGTCTATGAATATTTTCCTCCCATTGGGCAAAATCAAAATCAACAAGACTTCAGGTTATAGGTTTGGACAATTTTGCCACTTAACCTATCACATGTTCCTATAAAAATTTTCCTTCCACTTTCCACTACTTTAGCTTAATAAATGGTAATTTCAACATTTCTGTCAACCTCACTTGTTCAAGATCAATTTCAGTTAACATTTTCTTCAGTACTGTGTTGGGAAAGCAGTCACCAGTAGGGTAATTGAAGTTAGTTTTGACTTGATCAGATTGAACAAGTATGTCCAGATTAGTGAATTTAAAGAGCTTGTTCAGACATGTGAACAGCTGCAGTGTGATGTAATGGTGATTGACATTTCAATAAATTTACCAATATATTTAATGAAGTACATGATGTCATGGTTCCCGTATTCCTTGCATTCAATGCAAGTTAGATCCAGATTAGGCCTCACAATGAGTCATTTTTTTGGAACCTGACCTAATCAGCCAGATTCAAGTCTTGGCTTGCTCCTGGTTCAAAACCAAAATGGAAGCCAAACTCCATGGTCCATTCTGACATGCCTCAACAAAAAAATTCACCCTGTGTTTTCCTGTTTACTACATCATCTTTTCTGTTGCTATGCAAAAAATGTAAACTATATTGACTGTCTATGGCTTAAGTGATAAACTACTTTCTTTAATGACAAGACTGACCTCAAGAGACATGTACTTCAAGCTTGATTTCAAATTTCCAATAACTTATTTCACTTCTTCAACTTCAGAGAAGGTTTTTGTTTTGGAATGACCCAAAGTTTTAATTGACCTTTGCTATGCAATCACAAGGTGTTGCTACTGGCATTTTTGATCCATGTTTATGAATGGAAATATTATACCATATGAGAAACCTTCCTGGTAGGGCAGAAGCACAATAGACTTGCATCCAAATTGTATCAGATCCCGGTAGATACTTCTCTTCCAACTCAAGTTCTGCTAGTCTTTGTTTACGTTTGCAGTTAGACATTAAATTATTTTCCTTTGCATTGACAAAATACGTTAATGTATCCCAGTCCAGATGCAGCATGCTTTTTAATAATACTCACAGGTGATAGCCTCATCAATCATCTCTATCATATCAGGCCGACTCTCCTGGATCCCACAGTCAAGGTGCATAGAACTAACCCAGTTGAAACTGCGAATCCTGTCAATAGCCAACCATCAAAACAGTCAGTCCATGAAAATAGGAAATCTTCCAAGCTCTTTTGCCTCAAAAGCCTTAACTATACACAGCACCATGTTCCCATAAAGAAAATATATATCTTAATTAGAGTCCAGTACCAAGCCTTTGGCTTCATTTCTTTGCAATTTCTTGATTTACATTTTAAGTATTGCATAATATGAATTAAACTCTTCTAGAATCACCATTGTCTTATCTTCATGTTGCAACTTTGTCTGCCCTCTTGCTTACAAATTCTACCCATTGCAGTCATAACATCATTTGCAAGTTTCTCCTCTTTTTGCAAAAATCCAAAATCACAATGAAAGAATTAATTTTTGTAATGTCATGCAAAATATATTATTATGCCTTCAAGGAAATGTATATGAAGCTTTAATTTATTCCTCAAAGTCTTTCCCAAGATCATTATTGCTTACAAAAATCATAAACACTTAACCATACATGCTACAGAAGTTCAGAAAATGAGAACCAACTGAATTTCACTAAAGGAAGACCAGCCCATGGAGGTGCTGCTGGAGAAAACAGGTTGAATCAGAAAGGTAGGCTGCAGTGAATACTTTGAGGGAAAAGCTGAATAATCAGACAATACACCAATTTTTATGGCCCTAGTTCTTTGTGGCCTAATTTTGAGTTTGCCTTCATAAAGAAGCTCATCAGAAAGGGAAGAATGACCTGGTCCATATTTCCCTGTTTTGTACTTCCAGGTCCTTGCCTTCATAGGATGTGCTGATGGCATCAAATATTGGCTTATAGAGTCTTGTCATCACACATTTCTCAGTGAAATCAATTAAGTTTGCTGTGCAGTCTCGAGAGAATGCTGGGAAAATAAATTTTAAAATTGCGAATATTTGCAAAAAAAACGAATAAGGGTCTGACAGAAACTGAAGCAAGACAGATTCTGGTCTATATACAAAGCATGTCCCATTTTGGACTCCTTGACAGCTAGGGAGACATTCATGCAAGGTTCCCTAAAAAGCTTCACCTGGTAGGGAAGATCCTGAATTGCAATAGCAGACAGTCCAAGGCTGCATGTAATATGCTACATGTATATAGCAATGGTATGAATATGGTGGAAAATGAGAAAGGGGTATGTGAGCACCACTGAAGCAAGTTGCATGAGGGGATTTCCAGAGTAACCCATTTTACTACATTCTCTTGACTTGGAAGTCAACCACTCCAGTAACACAATTGAAGATGAATGAATGATATAGACCACAGAGGGCTATAAACAGGAGACATGGGGGACCAACATAATTCAGAGTGAGAGGAAAAGCACATCGTCCCTGGTTCTGCTATTATGCTGGTACTATAAGCTGGGATTTAGTATCAACAGGAATTGGGAGGAGTTTCAAGCCTGAAGTGCTTGGAGTAAAATCTGGCCCAAGATGCATTCTTCCTTACAGTGAAAGGCAGGATGAGATGCCAGGTTCTCTGATATGGATTGATAGAAGTTCTGAATATGTTCCGCCAGATCATCCAAATTGGAGTCTGGCATGACCCTGAGTGTTCGCTCAAGAAAGGTCTTGATATGCTTAGAGATATTTTCACTAGCTGGCTGATTCAGCTTCCGTAGAAATTCATCAAAGAGCGAGTGACCTCACGATTCTCTTCGCTCACGTGAAGTCAAGAGTCAAGAGAGTTAGTGACATAAAGAGGCGATTTCGCCCATTTCGATATCACGTGTCGAGGTCGAGCGTTCCTTAATTTTAAGGTAGGCCTAGCCCTCTTAAGGT